TCCCCCCCCCCCCCCCCCCCCCCCGGTGTGCTCCGTCTGGAAAGGGACGCGTGGTCAATGGTCAAATGATTACGGCAAGCAACAAATGAGTACGCCCCCCCCCCGCCGGCGTGCTCCGTCCCGGCTTTGTAGGGATACGAGGTCAATGGTTGAACGACTACGGCGTGCACGGCTATGAGAACACCCCCCCCCCACCCCACCCCCCTCCTCGAATCCGTTCACGTAGGAATGTGTTGATACTCTCACGGAAAAGTCGAAGGCGGGCAACGAGATGGTGTCCAACTTGGTGCAGAGCCTCGGCTCCGCTCTAGTGTACCCAGACGCTGGAAATTTTGACACCAACCGGAAGCTTTGGGACAATTATGCAGCGGAGTGGGAACCGGACGCCAGGTTCGTTAACACATCTCTTCGCATTTTTCTACATGCGCGCGTCGGCTTGGATGGGAATATTAACAGTAGACAGATGCCCCTTTCCACCACGGTGGCGTGCTAGCTGAGTGGGCTGGACTCTCGTAGGTAGACGTGGCTCGACCTACCCCTCCCCATAGCAGACCTCGTCCGACGTCTAAAGCGACTTCTTTGTGGATGATCGTCTTGGTGTTAGTGTTTTCGTTCGGACGGGACTTGCTTGCTGGATTTTGTTGAGCAGCTCCCACCTCAACGTTCGCACCTTGGCAAAAACACCACTCTCCATGTCAACAACGCTTTGCTCCGAAAACATCGTTTCGGCACGTACGCCAGCTGGGTGCAGAAAATGGCGCAAGGGTCGAAAACGGAGCGTCTGGAGGTGGTTGGCGATGAGTGGTCTACGCGCGACGATGTGATGAGGGTCATCAACGACTTCATCCTGGTGAGAGGCAGCCGCTGCTGCTACTGGCACCACGAATGCTTTGGCCTCTTTTTTCTGTCACCCCCCCGCTAAAATGCGAAGGCGTTAACGCTTCGGTTGCGGTACGTGTGTACCTCCGTGCTGGTGCAGCCCTCAGTTCGTGTATGCTCAGACCGACGTTTCTGTTGTTGTTGATGTACTACTCTCGTGCCCGGCCAAAGAGCTCACGCCCATGCTAACTTCATCGTGCACAAGTTTAAGTTTTGGTGCGGTCTCGACGGTAGTTTGCGACGCACACCACAGGCCAGTAGTGTTTGCTGCCCTATAGAGCAGTGAGTATGCGAGTCTCGTCGGCGTTGAGCAACATCAACACAGTTCCACCGTGGCACCAGCAAAACGACAGAAATACAGTAAATAGTAGTTTGTCCAGGGGATTGGCGGTTCGATGCGTTGTGATTTTTTTTCGTGCCACGTGCCTCCGCTGCTCCCCATCTTGGTGATTTCTTCGCGCTGCCCCGGTCCTCGTGCGCTCCATACCTTCCTTGCTGCTGCAGCCGAACGTTACAGAGGAGAGCAACGTCGGCGAGATTGGCTGCGGCGGGGGGCGCGTGACAGTAGAGGTGCGGAGGTGACTTGAGTATGACAACCCATTTCCCGTCAGGATGCGGCGGTCTTCGTTCCCGTGAATGCAATTGGTGTACGGTGTACAATGTATTCGGAACATGCAGAAAGTGCGGTATGTGTCTAGGGTGGATTACTCTTGAGCGATACGGTCACAGAGGCGTCGATGGCATTTTTTTTTTCTTGTTGAGCGGCATCTTCACGCCGTGATTGTGTGTGCGTAGCTCGTGTTTACCATGGCGGTGCGGTGCGTCATTTTGGGGGTGGTTTGCGGTCGCACTGAGTTGTTATCATGTGTTGTCCGTCGCGCCGCGAACCCTTTGTATCCCTGTCATCCATAGCACCCTCAGGTATTGGCATCGATCGGCATCCCGACTCCCTCGTGTCTCGCCCGCCTTCTCCCGCGACGTAAATACGCCACTACCGCCCGTAACGTCTGTCCTGTACCTTACCAGGTGTTCCGCAAGGCTGGACAGCTGACGTGCTTCGACATCTCCAAGAACATGCTGAAGCGCACCAGAGATGCAGTGGGAGAGGGGGTTTGCGCCGGAGGGGGAAAAGTAAGCTGTTCTCTACCTCCCACACCCGTCCCCCCCAAGAACTGAATATCCTATGGACGACCGACGTTTGCCAGAGTGAAGGAGATTTGTACACGAGAGGACTGTAGCAGGACGGAGGAGGGAAATGTACAAAAGGGTTGTCTATTTCGGTCAGGTAGAAGACAGTAGAATACAACTCACACATCTCATGGTCGGGGAACGTGAAGAAAGTAAACAAGGGGGACGTGTGTGGCCTCATAAAGGAAACGAGAAAAACAAAACGAATCTGACGTGATTGCCTTATGACAGTGAGATTGTTGCGAAATCATGATCGCCAGAGCAGGCGTAGCGCGATGCCCGCACAAGGTAAAAAACGGAGCGGGGCAAGATAGGCACACGCATTGCTCTCACAAGATGGACACCTTTGGAGCACCTTGGGATTGTTGGCGGTGTCCCAATAAGGAGTAACAACCTCTCGCCTCCCAATGGGAAGTGGAAACGTCGCCTCGAAGAGGGCGAGTGATCGCTGGCCAACACAGCAGAGCAAGACACGTTGCGAGTGATCGCATCGGCTACCGCCTGAGTGCCTGAGTGAGGAGTGCCCCCACACACCGCCTTCACTCTTTCCTCTCTTGAAATGTTTATTTCTGACGGAATTGAGCAAGTCGGGCGCCGAGGTTGAAAAAATTGGGTCCTGAAGGGATATTTGTACTCAGGTAACCCGTGTTGCTCGTGTTGGTTGGCAGCACGAGTATCCCCTCCTGGTATGTAGCGCTCTCAACAACTTCATAAACTGTGAACAATCGGGACTTGCTGGCGGCGGACGTGTAGCCTTCGTCTTCGGTCCCAGCCCGGTGCCGACGTGCAACGCTCTGTTGTTGTCTCCCTTGGCGAAACCTGACTGGCGCAGTACCGGTGGGAACCGTCTGTTCCTTAATCTTCCGCAGTATTTTCGGATTAATCACGACGCACATGGCTGAAAAGCCCAGAGAGATGACAAGACTGTCGCCTACATATCGTGCAGAGCTTTGTTTTTTTTGTGGGAGTTTGCCAAGCAAACTAAGCTGACCCTTAAGCTACAGGCGGAGAGGGTGTGATCGGCGCGAAAAAGAACGTTCATGTCTGAACCCATCTACTTATAGTCCAGCCTGCACCCCCTTCTGGTCGTTGTGTGCATGCGTGATTTTTTCTTGCGTGTTAACGTTTTTCTATGGCACGCGTCGCTCCCTCCCTTCTCCCAGCGCAGGTGATTTTTGTGCTGCTGAGCCAGCCCCGCCTGCCGGAGAACGCGTCTGATTCGCTAGACTTCGTGATCCTGTACGACGTCCTTGTGCACGTGGACCTCCACATCACCAACAAGTACATCCGCGAGATCGCTCGGGTTTTGAAGCCGGGTGGAAAGGCTTTCTTGTCCACTGCGAATTTCCTCAGCCCAGGTGAGATTTTTCGGGCGAAAAAGAGATTGATTGGTCAATTTTTGAAGGACCGTTCCGAAGGCTCTGTATGTGGCGCACAAGGCCCGCTACTCACGGCGAAGGCTATCTGCTCGCAACCAAACCTTGAGTCGGCGCAGCTCCTTGACGATCTCCAGTCGTGCTTTGATATTGTCCCCTGTAGCGCCTAACGGTTTTGATCTTGAAACTCGTGCTACATCGTGGTGCGTTGTGCAGTTACCCATCTGGTTTCCGTTTTGCGCGGCCTCTCAAACGAACAGTTTTCTTCGCCTACATGCGATCCTATTTGGACGCGAATCGTACGGCACACGACTCGCCGGGATCGTTTCTTACGCTAAGATAGCGACCACCCTGTGCCGACAACCAAGCGTTTTGAAAGTACCATGGGACCAGACTATTATACTAGTATTGTCCATCGTGCGCTTCGTTGGGGCTCTCCGCTGTGAGCACGATGGCGTCCCCCGCTTGCTTTGCCCCTCTCTTCGTAAAGTTGACCTGGACGTGTCTATCTTTACTCTCTCTCTTTCTCTCTGTCTGTCTCTCCCCCTGTATGAGCAGGTGGCTGGGATCGGTTCAATGCTCAGGACAAGTACAGCGTCGGCGGCTTCTACTGTGAGTACGTGGTGGAGTAGCAGCTTCTTCTTCTCCCAGCGCTTCATACCGTTCCTCGCGATCAACGTTTGCGTTGTTTGCGGGACCTCCGTCCTTTGAATCTCATGGTGCAGGGGCGTTCGTTCGGGCATCCAGAGCTTCCTGTTGCTGCCGTGCTGTCGATCACCCATCGCCGCCTACTTGGCTACCGAAGCGAAGCCCTATGTGTGACGTTTGGAGCAAAACTACACGATATTGGATGGATTGTTTTCCGGTTTGTCTCTCCGAACATGAGCCTTCGCGTCACCATGAATATTGTTTTTTTCTGCACAGCCAATTTTCCTTACGGCGGGATGTAGCGTCGGTATACTCGTAGATGCACGTGTCGCACGTGGTTTCTATGTCCATCGTGTGCTTCCTCTCCGCCTTTTCACCCCTCTCTCAACCGCTGACAATGCCGTGACGACCTTCGTCGCGTGGGTTTATTGTCGTTGCCACTGCCCTGTCCGCACCATCGCCTCCTGAAGTCATGTGCCCCGACATGGTGCGGCTGATGCTCGACAAGGCGGGCCTCCGAGTAGTGAGGGAAGGCGACCACGACCCGTCCAACTCGTACTACAACAGGCAAGTGCAAACGTTTAGGTGCCGACTAATAATAGACCACCTGCGTGCTCTGATCTGTAGTTGCACTGGTTGGAGGGAAGTCACGCAGCCCTTCTTAGTCACCATCCCGTCGCGCCTCCGTGTATCATGTTCGATAATTTTTAGAGGGCCTCACGTCGAGCTGCATACCTCGTAGCCTATGCTATGACCGCCGTGTTTCACCGTATCGGTAGCCATCTTCCCCATCGCTACGCTTAGTATGTTCTGTGCAATTTTCCCTGTAATTATTGGACAATCTCACGCGCGTTTGTTGGTGCGTTCCCGTTGGATGCCCCAGACGAAAGAAGCCCCACCCGGCGACGCCTCATCATTCCCCATTTCCTTTCCTTGAAAACGTCGTCGCGTATCTGTGCCGGTGATTTTGTTCGCGTTCGCAGGGACTACCTTGTGCTGGTGCAGAAACCGTTGTGACAACACCCCGGCTTCCTGCGCTGCCGGCGAGATGACACTTGGTCGGCTTTGGATGGCATGCATGGCAGGAGAGATCAACCTGGCTGGTGGCGGTGATGATGTCGCGCTGTGCATGAACGAATCGTGCTCTTTCGTTCACCTTGTGAAATAAAATATCACCGGGAGTACTTGGTGCATGTATCGTTTCTGGAGGCCCGTGTGTGAGATGTAGCATCCGGCTCGTCTAACCCCCCCCCCCCCAACCCCCCTGTGTCATCCCCCAGGGGCAAGAGAGCTTTAACGGTTGAGTAGCAGGTGTTTTCCCCCGCCGTGAAAGTATATTGTTTGAGCCTCAGGGGCGCTCGCTCGCGTGGGGCGTTCCTCGGGTGTGAGAGAACCAAACGTCATAAAAAAAAATGCAAAGGACAAATGCCATATAGGACAGGTGTGCGTTGAGCGAAGGCGAAGACAGACTTACGTATGCATGACACCTACCTTGCCGTTGATCTTCCCCGGGGTTAGTGGGGGGAGGCTTGAGGAGGAAGAAAGAGCATGGCGCCCATTGAACAAGTGTTGATTTGGAGGTTCCGTTTCGTAGCGGTACACGAGGAGACGGAAAGCAATACTGAGGCACGTCTCTCGGCAGGAAAGTGGGCTAGCTGGAGAAAAATATTGAGCAAACATATGTGGTCTACGTAGAGAAGAAACCGACACACGTGCGGCTTGCGCTTCCAGAAAGGTGGACGCCGGAAGTTTAAACTCGACCGACCGACGACCCTGGAGATACAAAAGAATACTCCCCCCTGTACCCGAGTGCGATGAAAGGGACGGCGATATGGCACAGGAACATTGTAACAGTACTGCGGTTCTCTTCCAAGAAGGCTGTGGTGGTCTGCAAAACCACTTGGTGTTGCGACAATGCATACCGCGTGCCGTCTAATTCAATGCTCATTCAAGAAGGGGGAAAACTGGCGTCGAACCCACCACGTCCGGTGAAAAATGAAGGGTGTGCTACAGCAGTGCCAAGAACGGCAACGCCACACACGGGTATGAACCCCGGCGCCTTCGGGCTGCTAGGAACCAAAAGCACCTCTTCCATAAGAAAAACGGTTTGAACTACCGCCGACTTGCCGCCCTTTACCCTCGCCATCAAGTGCTGGCTACAAGCAGACCTCCGCCCTCTCACCGCCCCCCTCAGCCCCTACTGCCACGCTCGTTCATTCGGCTCACTCCCCACTCCCCACAACCAACCTGCTTTTGAGAGAAGCAACGACGTCATGGTCTCGCTAATGGTTACTCCCCGGTTGGATCGATGGCACCAGCACCCCTCAACAAAGGGCAACGCAAACTCACTCTCCGCATGACTTGTCATCATACAGCAATCAGAGGTTGTAGCTTCTTCACACCAGTGGGAATACATCTTGAGCCACATGTGAACTGCGCTCGCCTCGTCATTACACACAACTTCGACGCCGCCTAAGGATCGGCCCCTCCTACATGGTACCGTTACACTCTTCAATCTCACAAACGCGGTACAGGGGCTTCTAACGTCGTGGGAGAGATTCAGTGTCCAGGGTCCACACGCTATATAAACGTGTCCCACAGACGGCATCGGCTTAACACAACCATACCACAAAAAATCAGCGGTTCCATCTTCCATCTTCCCATCTCGAGGACTGCCGTCGAAAACCACCTTTCCATCCGTGATACCACAATATTTATTGGTACCATGGCGGCCGAGACCATGCCGCATCATTACGCGATCTGCCGATTCACTTCCAGATCTTGACGGCCCCGTCTCTGCTGCCGGAGAGCAACATTTTAGTCGGCAGCTCGGTCACCTTCACGTCCAACACGGCGTCGTCGTGGCTTGACCGTGGCGCGACCAAGCCTTTCTCCTGGACCGTGGGTAAAGCGGCAGGCGGCGGTAGCGGGGAGAGTCCCACAATCAGCATCAGTCGACAAGGCAGATACAGCGGGGGTTACAAAACAAGCCAAACGTCGGCAGGAAGTGGTAATCGAGTGCAAGGGCAAGTTGTGGTACAAAGTGGAATTCGAAGCGTGGTATAACTTGAAGTCACATCGAAACGCCTGACACGAAGAAAAGCGCTGTGACCGGGGGGCCTGACTCCCAAATTTCTAACACATCATCCCCCACGAAGGATACCTGAAATAGTATACAGCAACATATCTACACAGCCTGGGGGAGCAGAGGCATTTCACAGCCGTTTTTCAACAATGCATACGACATAACAACTGTCTGGCATTGCTCTCGTAAGGAAGATCGTGACCTTGTTATCTGTGGTCACCACCCCCCCAGAGTAACTCTGCTACCAAACGTTTGCTCTTCTGCCTCTGATCGGTCAGCAATCGCCAGTTTGGCTGCACACGCAGCAGCTCTTGATCTTTTATCACGAGACCTATGAATACAGTGGGGGGTCCTCAGCTGTGCCGATTGAATAGTGCCAATGCCCGGTATACTGTCGGTGTTTTCGGCGGGTGCAGACGGAATAACCAAGTCTGTACTCTGCATAATGCCGGTGGCTCTGAATAGTGCCGGTATGCTGGTCGGGGTCCTACAGGCACAACTGAGGGCCCCAATATGAATTGAAAAGGGTTTCAACCCACGATAAACACCTACGCCCTGACGCTTCACCGCCGCGACGAGTCGGGAGGGGTGCTGTTTCGCGAGGCATTTCTTACACACAGCAGTAGAAGGAAGTTGTCGCAATCAACATTGCCGAATCGGAACCCGAGACCCACGCCAGTGCACTCGAAAAGCACCGAAGGCGCTTTTATCTCAAACTCACCACAAAGTTCTACTTTGCTATTTAAACATCATAGCACTCCCAGCGCGAGTACGACGAGAAAACATAAACGTTGGCTGGAACAAAGATATCATGGAACAACCAACAAAACGGTCTGTCGTCTCACGACGGGAGGTGTTCGCCGGCTGATACAATTTCCTGAAAGATTGACGTAGCAAAACTCACGAGATAAAGAAATTCGTTTGTATTGCCATGATAGCACTCCCAGCGCGAGTTAGACGGAAAAAATATGTACTGGTATGTTGCTGGAACACCGGTAGCAGGAACTAGCCACGGAACGGTTTGTCGTCTCACGAGGGGGAGAGTGTTGGCCGGGACGGCTGATGCCCTGAAACATCGTCGTATCGACTGACGGGTATCGGGGCAAACGCACGCAGTGCCTGGAACAACAACAGCAACTGGATGATGAAGCAGCATCACATGGCGAACCAAGTAAATGAGTTTGCCGACGACGGTGACTGACTGAGTCAACAACAACCAACTGGACAACCAATTGGGTTACCAACAGGATAAAATTGTGGTACTAAATAAAATCACATAAATAGCGAACGAAGCACATGAGTGTGCCGACGACAGCAGTGGCTGGCTGACTGACTGACTTACCAGGGTCACCGCCGGAGAGCCGGTTCTCGAAGCCAGCGAGGCCGGTGTCGGTGGCGGCGGATCCTCGTCAAAGTAGAGGACAACGGTGGACTTTCCTCCGGGGGCCGGACCCGGCACTTGCAGCGTTCTCGGCGACGGGCGGCCCGGGAAAGGCTCTCGACCAGACACCTACGCATGCACAAGTCACAGTAGTAGTAGTGGTGCCAATATATTGTAAAGGTTGGTGTTAAGACAACACAGTTGCCACACAGTACTGCTGTAGTTCGGATATAAAGAAGACAATTTTGGTTGTTCGACAACAAAGTACCGCAGCTAATTTTTTTTGTCAGACAACCATGTACCGTAGTAGGTAGAATATAAGGTTTGGTGTCAGACAACAAAGTTGTTCTCAGGACGTGGTTGGATGAACGAAGTACAGCAGCAGGGTTCACGGATGGGGCCACGGTCAAAGTTGAAGCCTTAGCGATATGTGCCACCGAGGATCCCACGCATGTGACGTCGGTACAGATTGGGGCCTCCTTGAGTGCTAGTCTATCGCAGAGAGAAGGACAAGGAGAGCCGAAAGCCACACAGAACCACGACAGAGCACCGGTGGTTAATAGTGATCGCTACAGTAACAGTACCCCCCTGAGATGCTCTGCGAATAGACTGCCACGAGAATCTCTGCGAATAGCCCGCCACGAGAACATGACGTAGTTTGCGATGCAGTAACACCGAACACCCCGTGTTGTGTCGACCATTCTGGTGCGTGTACACTCCACGAGCTGCGGGGACGCATTTCCCACACGACAAAAAAAAATCGTCAGCTAGAACTAGCCTTCAGAGGTCACCCCCCCACACACAGATTCCTGTGCCATTGCCGAAATATTTGCGCTGAAACGCCGCCCGTTCGAACAATGACAGGCAGTCTCATCCGTCACTCACCATGTAGCACCGAGACGCCGCTTGGAAGTCCCAGTACCGAATGCAGCGATCCGTCCCTCCGGTAATGAGGTACGAATCGCGCTCCGACCGAGATATTCTTCAAGCGCACGCACACCATGTATCGAGAGGGCAAAAGGAACCATGAGATGATTGGAGCAAGGGAAAACTCATGGTTGAAGAGACACTTCAAGCGCACGCACAAGATGCATCGAGAGGACGAGGAATCATGTCATGATTGGAGGCAGGGGGGGGGCTTACCTCTAAAACATCTTAACCATAGCTGAAGATGTGTAATCTGTAAATATACCTTTCTTACTCATAGCTTGAGAGAGAGGTGTGTACATTTTGAATATACCTTTATTACTCATAGCTAAGAGAGGGATGTGTACACGTTGAACTTTCTTTGAAACCGCCTCCTCACCCCTGGGCAGCCAATCAACACTTGAAGCACGGCACCGGCTGCTGTTTCTTCAGTTTAGCGTTGGGCATGATAACGCTGTCCCGAATTAAACCCGCCCCCCGCACGAGATATAACGTCCTTCTCCACAAACTGACTCACCTCCCCACCAGCGCCCGAATGGCAGGATCTCCTCCAGTCTGCGGCGCCCCCGAAGAGAAATCTCTCACTGCCGAAAGCTGTGCGCCGAGAGAAAGAGCCGGCGCGTTGGGGTGGCTGGGCAATGACACCTGCGGCGGCGCCGATCCGGACATGCACGATGAGCTCAGCAGGTGCGACAAGGAACACGAGGAGGCTGAATGGAAGAAATCCGTGGTTAAAGCTGGAGCGTTCGCGAGCGGCATGGTGTGGTATGGTGGAAAAGTTCCGCTTTCACCTCGCACGCTCGGAGCAAAACCAAAACCAATACCCATCAACTTGTCCGGGCAACACCTCGTGTTTTCGACAGACACAGAGAAACTACAGACAAGAGTGAATCAGGACCAAAGGAACGAAGCCCCAACCAAGCGCGGCATCAGGAGAAACATCGAGGGGTCACGCTCGACCCTAACCCCGCCGCAACCACCTACCTCTTCCAACACCGGGAGTTCGGCCCCGAGGATCGTTGCCGGGTCTTGGCCCCTGCTGCTCCTGCTCGAAGCCGAGGGCGGAGGTCCTTCCGACGGGGGTACGACGCGAAAGCACTGGGAGGCGATCCGTCAAGGGGACGGACGCCGCAGAGAGAAGAAGACACGTTTAGTTCCCACAACACACAAAAAAAAGAGCACATCAGCAATCGAGAGAGAGGGAGAGAGAGAGAGAGAGAGAGAGAGAGAGAGAGAGAGAGTGGGGGTTGTGTAGACACACGTTTAGTTCCCACAACACACAAAAGAGGGCACATCAGCAATCGAGAGAGAGAGTGGGAGTGGTGTAGACACACGTTTAGTGCACACACACAAAAAAGAAGCACATCAGTCTAGAGGTGGTGGGAGTGGTGTGGACACACGTTTATTTTCCACAACAACAAAAGAAGAGCACATCAGCAATCGAGAGAGAGAGTGGGGGATGTGTAGACACACGTTTAGTTCACACACACAAAAAAAAGAAGCACATTAGTCGGGAGAGACTAGGAGTTGTGGTGTCGAATCTCCGAGAAAGAAACTTGAGGGGGGGTTCAGCAGGGTTCAGGGGGGGGTGCGGGTAAGATTGACGCGAACTACATGTAGGCATAAAGAGCACGTCCATTCGTGGCAGCCGTCCTCAGAATGTGCTCTTTGGGGAGGGGAGAGGGGCAAGACCAACAGAAAGCCCTCAAAGTTGATTTTAAAAATATGACACCGAGGACCAAAGAAGTACATCAAGAGAGATATATACGATCGCGGGTAACTATTTTTACACAGCGCGAATGTGCACGTGCGCGAATCACCACGAACGCGGCAGCATGCACACGGCGCAGATACAACCATCGAGGTAAGCGGCATTTCCAACCGGAACTAAAGAGGCAACCTCAAACTACCAAAAAAAATAAACGAACAAAATCTACCTGTACCGTCGAGCCAACAAACGAGGACAACCAGTCTCGGATGCCCCCTTCAAAACCACGCGTTCTATGGTTCGGGTCAAGGCCATTAGTATTGCGGGCTCCTCTCGATCCGAGCAACAACCGGGGCGCCCCCGCCCCCCCCTCCCCCCCCCCATAGTACTGCAACGACCAAGAGAAAAACGAATACACACAAGCGGCGTGTCAAGGTCTCTCTTAGCTGCAGCAGACATTCCTGTCATGCTTACGGCGTGCTCGTGTCGCTTGCCGCATACGTACACACCTGCTTGCACGCGCCCCCAGTCGACACGTCCCATATGGCGGCTTCGTTCCGGCCGGCGGCCACGATCACGTGGGGCCCCGGGGCTGCGTCTGGGGGGGGCAGCCTGCTACAGGTGGCCAGCTTGTGGATGGGCCCGCCCGAAGAATGCCTCCACAGCCGCGCGAGAACCTGCAGTACGACCGACGTTGTTGTTGTTGTTGTTGTTGTTGTTGTTGTTGTTGTCGTCGATGCCGCCGTGTTAGGAGAGGGGCCGCGAGTGAACAAGGCGTCCACACATGAGCCGAAACAAGAAATGGAGACATACGCCAAGGAAGGAGGTGTCGCGCACGACAACTTGCCGGAAATCGTTGAACTGACCTGTGGTGCCAGGTCGTACACACGGATCACCTCGGGTCCTGCTGTCGGACCTACCACCCTACAGCCCGTGCCCGTCTTACAAGACAACAAGACCACCACCACCACGCCACAATAACGACAACGTAGCAGCAACAACAGCACCGCTATGTTCAAGAGCTCTCTCTCTCTCTCTCTCTCTCTCTCCGGACAGAAGTTTGTTCATGGGCCCTTTGCCGCGTGTCCTCAGTTTTCCTCGGTCTTCTCTCTTTCCATCGACGGGGACAACCACCAACACCTCCATCAACGCCAACAGCAGCAGCAGCAGCAGCAGCAGCAGCAGCAGCAGCAGCAGCAGCAGCAGCAGCACACGAAACCTTCTCCTCGCCTGGAAGCGAAGGTCCCACAGCATCACGAAGCCCCTGCTCGTCCCGACCACAAGCCAGGTCTTCTCCGTGCCCAGGGCAATGACGGTCAGGAACCCCAGCTCCGGATGAGCTCGAAGCGCCCACGGCTCCTGCCGCACGGCCAAAGACGAAGGAAGGAAGGAAGGAAGGAAGGAAGGAAGGAAGGAAGGGCCTCATCAGGCAGTAAGTAACGCCGTGTTGGAAGAAGAACGAACGAACGTGTAGACGGCGACGCCGTGTTGGAAGGAGAACGAACGAACATGTACACGACAACGCTGCGTTGGAAGAAAAACGAACGAACATGGAGTGCCGAGCGCGCGTCCCTCCCATCGCACTAACAAACGATGTGTGTTTTTCCTGGAGATACATCCCACGGATGCACGCACGGCGGCACCCGTAGAAAGGCGTCTCAAACCGCCGCCATGGCCCAAGCTACGCCACATTGGCACTCGTACCTCGTTTCTCGCCTGCCTAAGCGCATCGGCCATGCAAAAAAACAACATTGCCTCCACACTCCACCCGACTGCGCATCGCCTTGCCCCCAAAACGCATTTCTGAAAGATGTCCAACCCAAAAACTCCATTCCACGTAACCCCCCCCGCTCCCTGAAAACCTAAAGAGAGAGAGAGAGTTTCCTGTGCATATTCCACCACCGGACCACAAAACACCGCTAGTCTCCTCACCTCCCTCGCCCGCAAGTCCCACGACCGCACCCCGCCCTTCCTCGTGCCGTAAACGAGGGGGGACCCCAGCTCGGTGTTGAAGTGGTGGACGCTCACCACGGCGCCCTCCCTAGGAGACACGCAGCGGACCATCGACGACCCGCACACCCGGAGCCCGCTGCCCCCGCGCCCCACCCGCGCCACCCCTCCGCCGCCGCCGCCTCCGCCTCCGCCGACTCCGGCTGTCGCAGAGATTGCAGCCAGGGTAGGGTCGACAGGACCACCGCCGCCGCCGGCCCCGCTGTACTTTCTGCTGTTGACGCTGTTGCTGGCTTGGGAAGGAACGAGCCCCGGATGGTGCTGTTGTCGGGAGGGGGAGGTCTTGCTGGGGGGGGCACCGCCCGCTGCCGTCCCCCCCCCGGCGGCGGCATTGGGGGTGCTGTTGCCGGAGGCCATGGTGTTGGACATGGTGAAGGAGCCGTACGGGGAGCTGGAAGCGGAGGCTGCGAGCTCCACCTTCCAGACCTGTGCGTGCCAGGGGTGGTTGTCGGGTCTGAGACGCGGCGGGCTAACGATCGATGTTGGGCATGACAGCGCGGGAAGGCGGAGTAGCTGGAGCATGGTACTGCATATTTGTGTACCCTCCGTCGCTCAAGCACTTTTTGTATCCCCGAAAACAGAAAAAAGAGGGCGGCCAGCCGAGCAATAGTGCCACCGTCACGAGATGCAGGGTTTTTCAATGTTTTGTGAAGTGTCAAAACATTCACAACACGACAAACCTCCATGGCCCCGCAGTCACTTGTATTGACAAGAAGTCAGCAGCGGAAAAAATGTGGCAACACGTTCGTTCCTCCTGCCGATATGATTCCAACCCCGCACAAGGGGGAACCAACAAAAATATATATATTCGGTCCACATTATGCTGCTGTGGTCGCCCCTGTCTCTCCCCCCCGCCTGTCTCCGGTGTACTCCGTTATCGTAGCCCTCTCCGCCCCCCGCCCCCCCCTCCCCCCCCTGACATATACGGTACCCCCCACCTGCCACCCCCTACGTGCACGGTACCCCCCACCCCTTACATGCACGGTGCCGTCCGAGGAGGCCGAAGCAACGGAGTGAGAGTTGTCCACCATGCACAGGTCAAGCAGACGGCCGCTCTGCCTCGAGTACGTCGCGCGCGACTGCGGGTTGACCGTGTGGTCCATTCCGCGGAGCTCCCAGACCTGCCCACACGGAACAACCAGCAGCAGCAACACAGCAGCGTGAGGGGGTCGGGCGTTAAACCAATCTCTCTCGCGGTTTTGTGGCCGACAGCATTCAACAGCCAGGGGGCGGAGATGTTCGCGAAATGGCCGAGACCCCACAGCCGGCATCGAGATCATACCGCGCATGAGATTCGGCCCATAGCTGAGGAATCGAAGGCGAAGGTGGTGGAGAAGGAAGGCATAAGGGCACAGCACGTTTCTCGTGACAAAAAGCAAACACAACACTCGACCGATAGTCTTTTTTTATCGCCGCCCCCGCGACAATCGCAGGTAATAGGATTAGGGTTAGCTAGGGGTAGGGTTACACAAGGACGAAACCTTTTCGCGGGTCTAGCGATGATCGCACACAGCCGGCAAACACCACATCATCACCAGGCAACAACCCCCTCCTCCCTCCCACCACCTTGCAAGTGCTGTCGGACGAGGCGGAGACGAAAAACGCCTGGTCCTGCGACAGCGCGAGCCGGTTCACGGCCCCGCCGTGCTCCCTCAGGGAGGCCACCAGCACCCCCTGCCGAGGACGCCAGTCCGGCCGCCTGCTGCCGTGCTCATACTGCGACGAGTACTGCTCCTGCTGCGCCGCAGCCGCCGCCGCCGCCGCCGTCGCCGGGTAGGCGGACCTGGAGTTTGCGCCCCCGCCCCCCGATGACGCCGAGTTGGAGGATCCCCCGCCGCCGCCCGCGCCTCCTCCTCCTCCGCCGCCGCCGCCGCCGCCGGAGTCGAGGAGGTAGTGGGAGTATTTGGCGCCGTTCGGGGCCCTGTCGTCATCACCGCGATGGAGGCACGTGTGAGTACATACATGAGGCAACCAGAGCAGAAGCAGGGGCAATCAAGGCTCTCTCGTGTATATGTCGAGGGAAAGCAAAACCTCGTGCCCGGCGGAAGAGATAGCTGAGCGGAGAAGATAAAACGAAAATAAACTTCGTATTTTAACCCGATAGGAGAGAGCGCTGCACAAGGAGTCGGAACCTCTCGCCCTCTTTTCAATAGAGCCCCGCCCCTTCGTCAGTTTTGAAGCCAGGGGCAACAGCACGCCGTGGAAATCGCGAAAAGTGATGGGCGGTGCACCCAACCAAGAGCACCGTCCATTCTTCGGACGGACTTCACCGGAAGCTGCGGGCGGCTTGTCCGCTCTCGACTCCACCGATCCAAGCACACCAGCATCTTGTAGCACACCCCGATAAAAAAAAAAAATGAAGCCACGACTAGATGATCCCGCCACGGTGCCCTTGCACCGCGTGCCCTCGCACCGCGTGCCCTTGCACCTTACCTGACTGCCCCAAGGTCTGGGGGTAGCGGGGGAACTCCGAGCGCCTTCGCCCTCCTCACGAGGGCAGCCGCATCGTCCGGCCTGCCACCGACCCCGCCCGCCCTAGACACCGACCCCGCCGGAGCGGACGGTTTCACACCGACCCCTTGTCGGCTCGACGCAACGGCGGCAGCGGCAGCGGCAGCGGACGCCAACGCTGCGCTAGCCGCGTAACTGCTGCTGCTGCTGCTGTTGTCGTGTCGTCCACTACTTCCTGCTGCTCCATCCACATCTGCCTGCTCCACAAGGGCCATGGCCCTTCGCGCGTCCACCGCATTCGTGTGCATTCCTGGCGGGGGTCGGAATGGCAGCGGAAAGGCACAAAGTTAGTTTTTTCCGTAGCGTAAGAACGGTACGTAGCTTGAAAAAACGATACTCAAGACCTACCTCAATAAATGGTGTTCAAGATAGACTTGAAACAAAACTATATTCAAGACCCATCTCACGAAATGACATTCAAGCCTATTCGAAAGGGCTACGGGGGGGGGGTATGTGAGAGACCGGCAGACACGGCAAAACGCATGGCTGAAGACGTCGAACGACCGAACGTTCGTCCTCGTCCTCTCGAGAGAAACACGAACCCTTACCGGTGACGCTCTGGAGAAGCGCAGGGGTCGCCGACAGCGCGGCAGAGGACAGCCGCAGGTCGATGTCGTCCTCCCCGCCCTCATCCCCCCCCGCGTCGCGACGGCCGTCCCCCGAGGTTGCTTGCCCGCTTGCAAGCGCCTTCGCCACTGCGACGGCCACCGCGCCCACCCCGGGGTGCAGAGTGGTTATCTTCTGCGTCGGCACGTAGATGGCCTGGGACAGAGACTCTGGGAGGTAGACGGGAGACGATCGCTCCCCCGCAACGCTGCCGTCTCCGCCGCCGCCGCCGCCGGTGCCACGGCCCTTGTTGGCGGCGTGCTGAGCAGCGGTGTCGATGTACCTGAGCGCACAGTCGGCGTTTTTTGTCACAGGGGTTGTGTTGAGGTGGAATGCGAGTACGAAGGGGAGGGAATACGGGCCGTGCTGGATGTTGAGGGCGGGGACTTGGGGGCGAGGTGGAGGGGGGAGGGCGGGGAAAACACGAGAGAAAAAAACGGATGCACAACTCAGGTACCCGCACTGCCTACAGCTTTTCTCCCACAGACCGCGATGTGCATTTAGCGACCGAAATCTAACCATTACACCAGTCAGCGCTAACTGGTTTAATGGGTTGATGTCGGGTGCTGCAGTAGATACCTCTGTTTCCCCTCTTGGGCCGCTGCGCACAAGAGCCGCTATGCCTCCACAAAAAAAAAAAAACACGTCCGATCGACAATAGTTGTAGCAATTATCTCGACCCAGCTACAGGATAGACGGACGCAAATGGCTGGGCAACTCGGTGCCTCGCTCTCATGAACCAACCAACAGCCAACGCCACAACAACCAACGCTACATCGACGCCAAACAGGCAAACGACGAGACAAGACATGACGCACACACTGTTTGGCCAGGTACATGCGCACGGCCGAGTGAATCGGCACTCGCACAAAGTACAATCATCCATTTCGCAGTTGTCATCATACAAGTACGTAACACCCTTAGCAGGATGCAGCGCACCCTCCATGCGACTCGCCAAATACCTCACAGCGCTTCGCGCTTGGTGATGTGATAGCCTGGTCCGGCGAAAACCCGGCAAATCGCTCCGTCCCGGCTTTGTAGGGATGCGAGGTCAATGGTCTAACGACTACGGCATGCACGACTATGAGTATATGAGTACACCCCCCCCCCCCTTACCCCTTCAGGAGAGACAACGCCTCCTTCTCTTCCGCTGTCGCGACGACCCCCCCCTCCCCTCCGTTCTCCGCTCCCGACGAGTTTCGTCTCTGCTGCTGCTGCTGCTGCTGCTGCTGCTGCTGCGGCTGCTGGCTTGTTCGGTTGTAATCGGGGTCGCCGTTGCCCCCGCCCCGGCTGTCGGCAGCCTGTCGCCGGTAGTCGCCGGCGGCGGCGGCGGCGGCATTGTTGTCACTCGCCGGGAACTGCTGGAGGGGCTGCCCGCCGTCCTGAGAGAGGGGGTGGGGGGGTGGGGGTGGGGGGTGACGGGGCGGAGTTTCTAAGGCGGCTTCCCCTTCTCTGGTTGCTGCGGCTGCTATGTACCACAGCAGTATTGCCAACGCTCCCCGATGGAGTGCCTGTTTGGATGAGACTGGCGCCTCGCCCACACTTGCATACATACGGTCACACTTACATTGTCTTTTGGCTACACGTACGGATAATTTTTTTTTTCGGTTGGTGGGGTCGCCCAAACGCTTCTCACCTCTGCCCCTGTGCCTCCACCGCCGCCACCACCCGCAGCCCTTACCCTCCGAGCCTCGATCACTTCGCCCACCGCGGAATCAAACACGGGGCGGGGCACTGGGGGTCTGAGTGCATCGAGCAGGGCGGCCTCGTCCAACGAGCCCCCCGGCAAGGAATACCTATATGTGTGTGTATTTGTTACAAGCAAGAGGAAATTTCGGAGGTTTTAGATGGGCGGAGTAAATGAGGGCAGGCAGCATCAGCGCCAGTCGGCACATAAGTCACCGCTCGAGTAAATCGAAAGAATTACGAAGCCGGAAGCGTAAGAAGAATCAGCAGCAGCAGCAGCAGCAGCAACAGCAGCAACACACCCGGTTGTGGAGGTGCGACAGAAGCGCGCAACCACCGTTATTCCATTTTCTCCTCTTCTTGGAGCAATACGAGACTCTCCACGACCAATCTTGCATCATCCGTTCCCCCCCCACCCGATACGCCCTGCCAACACCAGAAAATAACAAAAAGCAAAACCACCCTTTTTCGTCTGCCAAAAGTCAAACATAATTAATCCATACATTTCCAAGTCAACAATTTATCCACGCCACCAAAGCCAACACCAACACCAGCAACACACCGACATGCCACCAACCTCGACACACCCAAACCAACTAGCCTCTTCGCAGCCAACAACAACACCCCTGTCTCTCTCTCGCCCACCTCAAGTGCGGTCTCAGCACCGGGTACAAGAAGACCTGGGTGTCCAGCGCGCCCAGCGCCTCCGCCACCCGAACGATCAGCTCCACCGCCCCGGCCCTGACCCCGAGCCCCGGATGCTGCAGCAGGGGCGCCGCGGGCGTGGCCTGCGACGGGAGGGCATGCCTCGGCAGCAGGCCCAGGCCGGCGAGGGCCGCGAGGCACCTGAGACCGCTGGCGATGACGGCCTCGCGGGCGTCGACCAGGGTGTTCTCGATGCACGGGAGGATGAAGCGGGTCGTGGCCACCTTTGTTATTTTTTGTGGAAGGGGGGGGGGGGGGGGCACGAGCGTAGTGACGGGGGCCGTTGAGAGGATGTAAGCGGGTGGACACTAGAAAGTGGGAGTACGCGAAAATGGCGGGACACCATCTTCATAAACAACATGCCAGCCACGCACCCGTCAAGAAGCGGGCGATTTGATGCTATCTTGACGGCTACGGTATGTAGCAAGTGGGTATATCTATCCATCAGGGCTACATTTTTCATAATTCGTCGATTTTAACCCCACCCACCTCTCCGGCCATGGCGCAGACGGCGGGGATGTGCTCGCAGAAAGCCGCGCGCAGCGACCAGTCCCTGCCGGCAAGCGAGAACACGAGGGGTTTAATTTCCCAAAACCAGGCAACGCCCACGACCGAGATGGACGATAGGACAGAGAGCGAGCGTGTAAAACACCCCGAATCAAACACATTTCTGGTGGTTTAGGAGTGCGGCTCGTGGACCTCTTGGTAAGAATCGACGCACGACAATGCAATATCAAAAAGCAACACGCGGGTAGTACTGTGCACTTCCGTGCCCTACATATGCGCAATACAGCAGCAGCAGCAGCAGCAGCAGCAGCAGCAGCAGCAGCAGCAGTAATAGATACCTGTCGTTGAGGAACGTGATCAGCTGGGGCAGGATGGAATCCAACGTGTTCTCGAAGCCGAAGAACACGCACAGCCGAGTGATGTCCGCGAGCAGCGCCCGCTTCACCATCACCGCCGCGGCGCCCGCCCCGCTCCCGCCCCCGCTCCCGCCCCCGCCCCCGCCGGCGCCGCCGCCGATTCCAACTCCGCTCCAGTCGGCCGCGAGGCCACCGGCCCCGCTAGACGACGCAAGCACGACGAACCACCGGCTGATCTGTGTGCGTGCGGTGGATGGACAGATATAAGTTGATGCGTGTAAATTTAGAACGAAACAAAAACAATCTTCTTTGTGATGCTGTGTCGAGTCGTGTGGTGCAGATCGGAGTGTGTGCGGACCGGTGTGTGTGCGGACCGGTGTGTGTGCGGTGGACATAGAGTTATGTGGACTCATGTAGACGGCGAAAAAAAAAATGTCATCTGTCTTTGTGCGTGGGTGCTGTATGGTGTCCTGGCGTGTCGTGCGTTCGAGAACGGACCTGGCTCAGAGCGAAGCACGCGAACGAACATCGCGCTGTTCGTCTGTCGTCTTTGGATCTCTCCGCGCGCGCAGACACGAACATACCGTAGGAGTACAAAAAAAACAGGGCATGCACAGGAGGAGACCGTCGCGTCGCCAAAAAAAAAAACGGTTTCAAGCCAGGGCGTCTACTCTATTTCCACCACCCTCTCCGCACCTGCCCGCGGATCGACGAGAGCTCTTTGTCGTAGCTCCCGTCCAGCAGAACAGTCCCCGAACTGCTCCCGGTCCCCGCCCCGCCGCCCCCGCTCGGCCCCGCCTCCGCCCCGTCATTCTCCGAAATCTCCGGTTCTCGCTTGCCGCCGGCACCGGGGGCTCCGTCGTTATTGGTGGCATCTCCTCCCCCTGGGGGCTCCGGCGTGTCATTGCCGGCCGGCCCGCTTGGCGTGGGTTTTTGTGAATCCGGTGGGTCGTTCTGGTCGCCAGCGTTGTTGCTGCTGCTGCTGCTGCTGCTGCTGCTGCCGCCGCTGCTGCGTTTGTTGCCGCTGTCGGTGGTGCTGTCGGTGTCCGCCGAGCTCTTTCGGGGGAAAGAGAGTGTACGGTGGGAGGGGACGGGGAGGTGTCAACGTGTGACAATCACTCGCTGGTCGAGCCGGGAGTAAGTAACACCAGAGCAAAGCATAGCACAACAACATCAGCAGCAGCAGCAATAACAAAAACAACAAGAAGAACAACAGCAGCAGCAGCAGCA